GGGGGGGGGTTAATCCTTGCACTATTTATTTTGTAATTAACTTCCAAGTATTTCCAATTTTGTGTTTTACCCCCCTCCCTCCTCCTTTGCCCCCCCCCCTTCCCCCACGTCCTTTACACTTTGAACTGTTATTTTTACAGGATTTTGAAGCAATTACGCCGAATCTTCTTGCTCGAACAGTGGAAACGATCGAAGGTGGTGGTGTAATTGTGCTGCTGCTAAAGAGTGTCGGTTCCCTGAAACAACTTTATACAATGACAATGGTAATTTGTTATTGATATTTTAAGATTTTTGAGGCATTTTTTAAGGGACTAATATGAAGGGGGAGGGGGTTTTCTACAGATTTTACCATCATGAAGCGTTGAGGCTAATAGGAGGGGGAGGGGCGGAAGAATTAGTGTGAAGTATATTTTTCAATTAGAGTTTTTTTATCTTAGGTGGATTAGATTGAAGTTTTTTTGATCTTGGTTGGATTAGATTAAAGTTTTTTTTTATCTTTTTTTTGTAATCTTTGAATTAGTTATGTTTAGGTTAAAGTTTTATCATGAAACTTCGGATTTATCTCTTTTTTCAAGATTTTTGGTCTATTTTTGTAGTTTTGCGGAAACAATTCTGCAGATAGAGCACGTTTTTGCTTACCCCTTCATTTTTGAGCCGCAGATATGCAGGATTTGTCCTAATTTTCATCTAAGGAAAGTAAAAATTTCATGAAATTTCAAAATTACAAGTAATTTTGCACTAATTTAGGATGTTCACAGTCGTTTTCGAACAGAATCACACAAAGAAATTGTTCCACGATTCAACGAGCGCTTTATACTGTCGTTGGCAAGTTGCCGAAGTTGTTTGGTTGTTGATGATTGCCTAAATGTTTTACCACTCTCGTCGCATATCTCCAACATTGATACAGTTCCAGCCAGTGCTAAGGTATTATTCTGTTGGGTGCTTCCAGAAAAACAGTAACAAATTAGCTGCTGAATGGTGGTTTTAGTAAACGTCTTAACTCTCTCGTACTTATTTTTCCTGTACCAGCAATATTTCTACATCTTGCATTACAT